TAATGCGTACTGCAACAGGAAGACGGGGCTTCACTAGGCGTCCAACCATGATATATTATAAAAGTTGTCTTATTTCACAAATTTGTCACTTTAAAGCGCGAAAGATTTTAAAGACGGTACCGGATGATAATTTTTATTATTTCACTTTCCCATCTTAGCTTCTTGATCACAATTAAAATACCGTATAATAGTCTGAGGATACATATCAATCAGTAATTCATAATCAGTTATCCATAATCAGTTATCCATAATCAGTAATTCATAATCAGTAATTCATAACCGGTTATCCATAATCAGTAATTCATAATCAGTTATCCATAATCAGTAATTCATAATCAGTAATACATAATCAGTAATCCATAATCAGCTATCCATAATCAATAATTCATAATCAGTAATTCATAATCGGTTATCCATAATCAGTAATTCATAATCAGTTATCCACAATAAGTTATTCATAATCAGTAATCCATAATAAGTTATCCATAATCAATAATTCATAATCAGTAATTCATAACCGGTTATCCATAATCAGTAATCCATAATCAGTTATCCATAATCAGTTATCCATAATCAGTAATTCATAATCAGTTATCCATAATCAGTTATCCATAATCAGTTATTCATGATCAGTTATCAATAATCAGTATTCCATAATCAGTTATCCATAATCAGTAATTCATAATCAGTAAATCATAATCGGTTATCCATCATCAGTTATCCATAATCAGTTATCCATAATCAGTTATCCATAATCAGTAATTCATAATCAGTAATTCATAATCGGTTATCCATCATCAGTTATCCATCATCAGTTATCCATAATCAGTAATTCATAATCAGTAATTCATAATCAGTAATTCATAATCAGTTATCCATAATCAGTTATTCATAATCAGTAATTCATAATCAGTTATCCATAATCAGTAATTCATAATCAGTTATCCATAATCAGTTATTCATAATCAGTAATTCATAATCAGTTATCCATAATCAGTAATCCATAATCAGTTATCCATAATCAGTAATTCATAATCAGTAATTCATAATCGGTTATCCATCATCAGTTATCCATCATCAGTTATCCATAATCAGTAATTCATAATCAGTAATTCATAATCAGTTATCCATAATCAGTAATTCATAATCAGTTATCCATAATCAGTAATTCATAATCAGTTATCCATAATCAGTTATCCATAATCAGTAATTCATAATCAGTTATCCATAATCAGTTATTCATAATCAGTAATTCATAATCAGTTATCCATAATCAGTAATCCATAATCAGTAATTCATAATCAGTTATTCATAATCGGTTATCCATAATCAGTAATTCATAATCAGTTATCCATAATCAGTAATTCATAATCAGTAATTCATAATCAGTAATTCATAATCAGTTATCCATAATCAGTAATTCATAATCAGTTATCCATAATATATCATCTACGTCACATTATACTGTGTTTACTAAATGTAGATGACTTTTAGTGTTCATACTGCCATAAATGTCCTATGTCAATTGAATTAAAATTCAGCGTATTTTTCATTTCCACATGTTGTACGTAAAAAATAGCCGAATCACTTGCTCATATTATAAACTAATTAAAGCTATACGAAAGCACAATGTATATACCTATCGGTCACCTAAGGTCATAGGTCCGTCAAAGTACTGTGTTAAGTAATTATATCACATGTCAATATATCTTCTTCAGTTTTTTATGCAGTACATGTGTCAACACTGGAGCTTTTAAACATGTTGTGAAATTCAACAATTGACCAAGCTTAGCAGCTAAACTCGGAGGAAACATTGAAGTACACCACAGGTATTTCTATATAATCTGCCCTTTTCAGGTGTTTAACTGACCTTTTATTGAGACACTGCCAGGGCGAGTGGGTAATGGGCGAATATAGTATCTACACGGCGCTCAGTCATCACGTAATGAAATATAAAAACAAATGAAAAATGTGTTTTGTGTTTCATATATACAACACGTGTGTGTTTTGTCACTGGCAGAGGACCAAGAACTGAATCATACTATTGTAAGATTTACAAGCGCCAATTGGTTATAGCCCTCCAGGTGTCAATCATGTGTGTAACTGAAGACCCATATGAAGATGTATTGGGTGGGGGAGGCGTACCATAGCGTATACCATATAATGGGGAGGGGAAATTTGAGAAAAATACTATCGGGATAAGAATTTAATTTTAGTTTATTTTTATTAAAATATATTTGATTTGATTTAGACACATTTTAGACCTTACCATTTATTAAAAAAAGTCATACATTAACTCCATAAAGTATTTAATCTTACTGGATTGTTTCCATCTGTCCTCGTTATTTTTTATCCATCCTTCCTTTCGAATGCAAATTTCCAGACATGTTTTATGAAAGTCATAAAATTATGTTGTGGAGAATTATGAAATGTTATATTTAATTAATTTCAACACTTTTTCACATTTAGATGTATCATGTATCATTGTATGATATGTTAAACTGTATTACTTTAACTTATACACTGTCTGGTATGGTAATAACATATAAACAGATTGTAGTGTAGTCACGATCAACTGAAATAAGTAAAATAATCTCAGAACATACAGGGTTTGTAAGATAAATCAAACCTGTGTTAAGAGACCACCCTTTGGTTGGTGTACATGTGGTTTCTTGGTGGGGAGTGATCTTTATAAATAGAGTAAATATTGAATTCCATGTTTAAAAACAAATCAACAAAGGTTAAAGCATAAATTCTCTATTTAATCACTAAGTATTGATAATCTCATAATAATTACTTTTTTTTAAATATATACAAAAGAAGCACACTTATAATATACACCACACTGTATTTTAATTATTACTAAATTATGATAAGTTCAGAAACCTATTTGTGAAACATAGATTTATTATCATTTCGAAGAATACCACGGAAAAAAACCAACAGATTTTTTTCCATATTGAAAATGTCTCATGCATACTTGCCAAATTCTGACATTCCCATGGGGGAGATTCTGCATGCTCAAAATTAAAACAGAAATAAAATGTGTGTATAACCCCCCCTAGAGACAAAATAACCCTTTAAAATGACATATTTTGAGTTGTCTCATTAGATCTTAGAACAAAAGTGTAGTTTAGAAAACTCTCTAGTTGAAACTACCAAATTTAAGGGTCCAAAATCGAGAGTCTCTCTCCTAAATAGGGAGAGTTGGCAAGTATGCTCACGGTGACTGTCCATCAAATATATCAGGTAATTTGTATATGGATTTAAGAAGTCATTAGAAATTAAATTATCACATATTTTTCATCATTAAGTCCTGTAGGTTAATGTCTCACACTCAGGGTACATTGACTGACATGTAGTGACACGTTGTGATGTCATTATTGAGTTTTAATGACACATCTTCCTTTACTGCTGTTTTATTTCAGTCTGAAGAAGTTTTAACAACAAGATATGTTTACTTATTAGATGAAAATATCACCGGTTCAAAGATAACTGGATCTCTTTATTTAAATCTTGCTCTTGTAAAAGATGATTTTAAAAAATACAACAAATCAGTGTAGTATCTAGAGGTATTGTCTCAAAATGGATAATTGTCTTTTAAGACCATTTTCTCTTTTGAAAAAACCCACAACAAAAGCAAAACACAACACAGACAATTTGGAATCTTGGCATATCAACATTATTTGATGAAATTAACAAAATCATCTCTCTCAAACTTAATTACTATGAAGACTATCCGTCACTTGTTGAGGAAAGGTGAAACAATATATTTAAAATTATTTTCAACCCCGTTGAAGGGATGAACCTAGGGATGAGGGGCGGGGCTGGATAGAGTTTTTAGCTCGGGAAAAAATAAGATCCCCCAACCTATAACCACATATACAATTGCTGAAACGAATACACACACATTCTACCAGGATGGTCTCAGGGTTCGGCCCCATCCATGGAGATTTAACTGCTGTGTCGAAGAATTTAAACAGTTGAGATCCCCACCCTTATTACAAAACAATTGTTAAGCATGAAGATTTAGATACATATATCATACTAGGGATTGCCTCAGGGGATCGCATTTAGTTTACTACTTGCCAGACATTGCTACTATTACTAATAACACTCGGATCAAAAGATTGCATCGTTACAACATACAGGTAGCTGTAAATGTATATTCCTATCAAAGACACACCTGTTGTTATATAATACAGAAATTCAATCATTAAAGCGACTTTGTTCTGTTCAACTCATTCACCCCTGATGACACATTTGAACTCTTCCAAATCAAAAGTGTGAATAGTTCATTATGAAATTTCAGGGGTGAATGAGTTAATTAAGTATCATGGCGTTAGCAAAAGCATTTGATGCTTGTTTGAAAAAAGAAAAAAAATGACATCATGATTGATATTTCTAACAGTTTTGTTATTTGTTGCCTATATCTAATACTACGTCACTTAAACAGCGCATGATGACGTCACAAACAAATGAGCATTGTTAGGTGATGTAAGACTGTACTGGGTTTTGCTATCTCATTGTGACACCTTATTAGTATATACAAATCAAGTCCCCTTTGCCGAAAGATGCTTTACACCAAATTTGATTAAAATCCTTCCAATCGTGTGAAGGAGGGATTTTTAAGATCCCTATTAGGCCCCACCTTTCTATCCCTAGATGGGGAGTCACTCTCTGTTTAAAAATACTGACTCCCCTTTGCCCAAGGATGCTATACACAATAGTTGGTTAAAACCTTTCTCATTGTGTTGAAGGAAAAGGATTTTAAACATTTATTGTTATGTTGTCCCTATTGGGCCGCGCTCCTCTGCCCGCTAGGAGAGCCACACCCTCTGTTTATGCAAAATAAACCTCCTCTTGCTAAAAGATGCTCCACACAAAATGTAGCTAAAATTCCTCCAATCGCAGGTTTTAAACATTTATCACTGTATTCCCTCATTGAGCCCCATTTGTTCAATAAATCCAATACGACATCAAATTATTAAACTCTTTTAATAAATTCAATATGAAACGGACACGAATGTAAGATCCTCTATTTATGAAGTTTATCGAGTATCATGACAACTTCGATCAAAATATCAGTGTTTGTTGTCATGGTTACTAGATACACACATTGTAGTTTGTCCTGTTACATATTAATGCAGATACTGTAGTCGTTGGACATAGTAACCCCCAAACGCTGCCCATAGAACACCATTCTTGTCTACTTCAACAGCATAGGTACAGTAGTCATGTGTATATATGATCCTTAGGAATTCACAACGCCCACTGATGAGTAGGACACTCTTATTGTTAAAGTCCCCGATGACGAGGTTACCCACAGTGTCATACACTGCACCACAGGGGTTAAATGGTTGACCTCCTGACTGTGATGTTGGCTGATATGTATCTGGGACTTTACCATCATATTCAAATAATTCCTTGAAATCTGTGTCCATGACAATAACACGTGGTTTCCCTTTACCACCATCATCTTCACTGTCACTGTCAGCCACTGCAACATTGTGAGTGACAGGACACTCTGAGACCCTGTATGGTGTACACACTAATGGTTTCCCAGTCCTTGAAGCTGATGAAGTAAGTACCAGTTTACCATTTGTGGTAAATTTTGAGATGTGTTTGTCCGTCCCCACAATGACATGATTACTAGCTGTAATACAGATACACTGTGGTTTCTCTCTGGTGCTGAATCGTAATACTAGTCGTCCTGACCCGAGCTCTGTGATGTTGTTGTTTTTGTCACAGATCCACAGTGTGTTAGTTGTAGGTGACATACCTATGTCTGTAATATCAGCATTGTGTGTAACCTCCTGTATAACGTTCCCTTTCCTGTCTAGGAGATTTATAGTGCCAGTGAAAAAGGCACTAGTCCACACCTGACCATCAGTGGTGGGACATACAGAAGTCATATAATATGGAGACACCCACTCCCCCAACACCGTTGTCTGAGGCAATAGGGTATATACTGGATCGATCACTTCATTTCTTTTTCTTGAACTCTGTTGTGTACTTGGTCTCCTAACTGTACGTTCTGACGACTTCTGTGTAGGGGGTAGTTCATGTCCAGAACATGACTGATCGGATCGAAAAGAGGTTTGACCCCGACCTTTACTTGACGTATCCACTTTTCCCAAGGCTTGTTCCAGGTGACCCTTAGGATTTCGGTTCGGATTGAAGCTTGCAGTACCCAGGGTAGGTTTAACGTGGAGAGTGACAGGGGATTGAATATCACGTCCTGTGTCGTAGATATGTATGTCAGAGCCGCCCTGAAGTGCTTTCTTACATTCCTGTACTTGTTGTTTTAGCTGTGTGCTATACATTTCCAGGTCCTGTTTGTAGGTTTGTAGTAGCTTGGTGTTATCCTCCTCCATTTGTTGATAGAGAGACAGAGTCTGAGCTGAAAGCTGGTTAAGATCTTGGTTTATTTTCTTCGTTTGTTTCTTCAACTGTTGGGAAAGTTTTTCAAAGTGGCTGGTATTGTCCTTTAGATGTGTATCAGTAGCAGTGATGTACTGGTCAATTTGTACAAGGTCAACATTCTCGGTTTTGTCGATGAAGTTTTGAATCTCTTGATTCATTTTTGGAGTAATTTCACTAAGGTCACACAAAGGATGTTTCTTATGTACAGTAGACAGGAATTTGGTACAAGCTAGTTCTTGACATTCTTCACAGTAAATGTCCAGTTTTCTATCCTTGTGATACATACAAGTGGTTTGACCTTTGATACGGGAAGTAAGCTGTCCTTTGTACTGAGGCGTGGCCATTTTAGTGACGAGATATAAAATCTCTTGAGGATAATGGACTTAAGGAAATTGATTTCACAGTGAGGCAGTTTGTCTGACATCGGGAAATGAAACCTTAGGTTCACTAATCAGTAGTGGTTCGCCTGTTCCTGTCTGAATGAATGTGTTGGAGGATATGTTTAAAAATATCATGGGAAAACATAAGTTACCATCATCTCTCACCTTGTTTCCAATGTCAGGCAGTCGGCATACAATGACAATGTTTAACGTCTATGTCAAACCATAAATTACAAGTTAGTTGTTATTTCGAAATGTCTTGATACTTATAGATTCAGCCCAAAGTGACTGCTTTATTATCTATCGCCCTCCATGCGCATGCCGGTTTTAGTTATCTATACAGGTGTGACCTATAGCTCAGTATGTAACTCTGCAGGTAATATAACTTCCCGGTTTAGCGTCGTTGCCGAAAACCTGCAAAATTGACCTACTGATATGAGTTCAAAGTCCTTTGACTTTTATCAAATATACGGTCTGATAGCAGCAAGGACTTTGTGGTAGGTTTGCTAAGTATTTTTAAATGTTATTACTTCTGTATACAGGTAAGGTGACAGTTCGGATTACCGAACGATTATTTTATTAAATCATTGAAAAATATCAGGAGGAATTATATTCAGTTATGGTTGTATCAAAGGAGGAATATCGATGAGAGTTTTACAAACGAAATTAGCACCGGGGCTCACTTGAGGTATTTATAGAACGCTCTGAAGTCACCAATCAGCGTCTCCGGTTTTTGCGAATGTCAGGTCCCAAATCGGATCAAGTCTTGAATTTTGCAGTATCTTACAATTCAAATGAATATTGTTTTGTCAGCATATTAACATTTTATGATGACCTTTATATTTATAATTGATATGTCAAAAAGTATTTCTATAGTGTGAATTTATTCCTATAGTCCAAAACGGAATGCATAGTCGTCGCACGCACCATTTTTTAAAAACGTAATCAAAACATTGACATTTGAGCTTGAATTACGTTTTCTTGCGCTATTTGAACTTAAAAACTAATCATCTGTAGACAAAAAATGGTGTATGGCTATCGATTCTAAGACTACATCATTGTTATAACTGATTTGTTGACACATTTATTTATTTATAAGTATTTTTGCAAAAAGTGATCCGATTTGGGTACTGCCTCCTTAGCAGTGTACAGTAGCGTACGGTGGCCATGGGTGTTATATTTGTACAATGAATAACCCCTGTAATATTACATGTATCATGTATTTTTTTGTGAATTTGGTTTGAGATTACATTTTTGGCCATTTACAAATCTGTGTCTCCACAACAGAAGCTAGTTTTTCATGTAGTCTATTTTTGTAATCAGCAGATGTGAAAATTTTGTGTAAAAATCCAGTTGAACAACCTATACTAAAACTTGAGTATTTCTGTTACCGAATAGGTGATATTTAATTTAAGACAGGTTTTAAGAAAAAGAATAGCACTTGCGTGGGCCAAATTGTGGGTAAAAAATCATGTTTGTTTTGCATTTTTTAGCGTTTTTTGATGGTTTTCACAAGTCCAAAATCTGGGGAAATCACTTTTTGAAAAAAATCATTCTTCTAAAATAATTGTATTCAAAATGTAGTTTAGTATGAAAAGGCAAAGCCTTGAAAGAGCGTAGCTTTTGTTGGTCTCGGATATTTACTGATTCATCATACGGCTTTCAGAATGAGATTTCAGATACGAAAAACTTAATTTAAAGTCGACAATATCGAGGAATAACAATAAAACACAAGCTTTAATAAGATTAAGACCGATATAACAGTAGGGGAGACCGGGGCAAGTTCGAGCCATTTTATTTAAGTCCGTTCTTTTATAGTATGGCAGAACGTCCGTTTTTGAACATTATTTAACTTTTTCTATCGGAAGATCGGATGGCCGAACGAGCCCCGCCATGGGGTAAGTTCGGACAGGCATTTGAGTAAGTTCGGCCCCTATTCGAATCAGCTTAATTATGACGTCATAAAGCATGCAACGTCATATTTTACCGCCAATTTTACGACTTTGTAATGTGTTACATGGGCCGAACTTGCCACGGTATCATTGCCCGAACCTGACCGGGCCCAAATTGATATTTCAATAAATTCTTATCGTACAGCAATATGGCAATGAGTGATTAGCTTTTATGTATATCATTTGAAGCTGTCAGTGTGTTACACGTTTGACCGTAAAAAGTAGCAATTCCGTTTACAGAAAGTTCGCATAACTATAGAAGCGAGATCATGATTTTCTTTCTACCCTCTCCAAAGTCATTTTCTCCTGTTTAGTAATTTTACATTAGAGTTTCCTCGTCTTTTTTTTCGTGTGAATGTGCAGCCAAATTAACTGTTAAGATCCTTAAAGTTGTAAATATTAGCTCAAAAACAAACATATAAGGGGTGGCCGGACTTGCCCCGGTCTCCCGTATGTAGATTTTTTGTATCATTGATGATTGATAAAAATGTATTCACTATATAATTTTTGCATCAATGACGCCATTTTCTTCCAGTCAAAGCTAAAGGAGATATTTGTTCTTGTGCGTAACGTATATGATGGGTCAGGTGGCGCAGTGGATAGTGTGCTCGTCTTCACCAAGATGGCCGCATTCAATCCCGTTCACCTTCCAGATCACGCGGGTTTTCTCCGGATACTGCAGCTCCCTCCTACATTAAGAATTAAATCCACTGCGTGCTTCCGTAAGGGCACAAATAGAATGATTGAGATCAGTTTGGAAAAAACAACCTGATTGGTCATTCCTATAGAAAAAAGAGCTTATTACATGTTTGACGATTAGTCTAAGTAAATGTATAGAGATGTAAGTTTAAAAAAAAAACAAAAAAAAAACATTGTTATACTTTGATGTAACTGAGATTGTCGTTATGTCGATATGTAGTCTCAATTCCTGTTCGACCATGGAACACCGGATTGAATTTCAAATTTTGTAAATGTCACTGAGGTTTAACAGGTAATGATGCCATATAGAATTTAACAGTTTCTGTCTGTAATTAGTTATAAATCGGCACACGTTGTGAAACAGTAATACGTTGCTAAAAAAGGGCTTTGAACTCGGGTTGGTTGTCTGGAAAATTATTGTTGATTTGACATAAATGCATTATCCATTGTTTCTTTTATGAGTAGTAATGCATAAATAAATTACGTAAAGACTAAAACCAGACTTTCACAAATGTTAATAATTTCGTTCATATTCTCAACAAATTCAAACTAAAAGCTGATGAAATTTTACATGATAAAAAAAATAAATGTAAACGTTGTCCTATCGGTTTAATCCCGCTCTCTTTGAAGAGATCTCCTGGTAGACATATTAACATTCAGAATTTATCCGCATTTTTACTTTTTGTGCCTGAAGAAAAAACTGAAATAAAAAAAGTCATGAAGCACCAATAAAGAGATAAAGCACCCGACATCAGTTCAAAGATTTTCCGGTTATTTTTCATCCTTCCGGAATTCACCGCTGAAGGCCGATGGAGTGTGACGTGCTTGTGACGTCATAGTATGATACTCTCTGATAGTTGCATGCCTTTTAGTATCACATTTTATTTGTAGACTTTTTCACACAGAATGTATATTAGTTTTTATCTAAATAAATACGTTGTAAAACATGAAGATTGTTTTCACTTTATGAAGATGTTCATGAATGGTTGAAACACAATTGTCTTTGCTTCAAGAATACACTTCCGGTTTCCCCAATTGACGTCTACTGCCGGACGGAAATAATTGAAGGCAACGTGTAGCAAGGGGAAGCAACTCTGTTCACGCACGCATGTGTTACCATTGAAGAACTTCGCTCGGGCGCCTTCGGCGTCTGAGAGCTACGCTCTTATTATATACATATATATATATATAACAACACTGTTGGAATTACTTCTTTGCCCCATATATATATTTCTATATAGAAAAAAAACATACATTTTTCAGATCGTCCGCTAGNAGAAAAAATAAAATTAACGACCGACTAAAAAACTAGCTGCTTTCACCCTTCACAGGGCTCTTCAGGTTTATTCAAAAGAGAACAACGTCGTGACGTCACAATTACATGTCATCACACTACAATAGTAACGTGACGTCACGAAGTACACAAGATTGGTGGACAATTTGGCGTAAAATTTTATTGTGGCCTGTTGAGACTCGGTTTTAATATTTTTATTAGTTGGTCTTCTTTCGTTTCTCTTAAAATAGTGTCTGATGAAAATAGTTGATACAAAGGTAATACATTAAATTTATCTCCAGCACATTCATGAATATGTTTGTTAACATGAAGATTTCGTAAAGAATCAGTTCTAGTTTGTTGTCTATGTACAGTCATACGTGTTCTGAGTTCATTACCGGTTTGACCGATGTAAAAATCACCACATTTAGAACAAACTATTGCATAAATTACATTTTTTGATTTAAAATTCATATTTACCTTCACAGTAAACTTCAAACCATTCTTGAAAATAAAATCATTACACTCGATAATCATAGGACATGTAGCACATCTTGGTGTCTTACATTTGGATACTTCTGGTGTTACACTATCACTTCAGACATTGTAAGTTTGACGGCGATGTGTTCTGCGACAGGTAGGCGGGTTTTACCAGTCGTCTTCTCCCTATTTTATAAACACTGCAATCTCATATGTGGTAGGTCTTGAAATAGACCAATGCAACGACTTGATTAGTTTACAGTGCACTTTAAACAATTTGTCCAATTTTACCAATTTGCGATTTTAAAGCGCAAAAGATTTTAAAGACGGTACGGTATGATAAACGTGTTTTTATTGCATTTTCACATATTAGCTTCTTGATCACAGTTAAACTACCGTATGTTAATCTGAGGATACATATCAATCAGTTTTATGTAATGTATAATCTACGTCATATTATTCTGTGTTTACTAAATGTAGATGATTTTTAGTGTTCATACTGCCATAAAGTTACCATGGAAATTGATTTAAAATTCAAATTATATTTCATTTTCATATACTGTAAGTAAAAAAAATAGACGATTAGTATAAAAAAATGACACTACATTCAATTGCTCATATTATAAAAAAAATAAAGTTATACGAAAGGACAATGTATACAAATATCGGTTTCCAAAGGTCAT